TTTACTCCATCTCCTCTCACTACCTCTCTCTTTCACTCTTACAATGTCATACCTTTAGAGGAATTCCCTTTTGGTGCCGCTTAAAAGCGTACTTCCTAATAATTGTTGTTGTTGATGTAGCTTGTTGTAGCTGCCAGTAGCATGTTGTAGTTGTTGCCAAGGAAATGACCTTCTCATAAATATCCATCATGACAGGTTGCATGTGTCATTGAAACAAGTTTTTCATTCGGTATAAATATGAGTATGACAAGCACGTCTTATTCCCTACGATGTCTAGGGGCGACAACACCTTTTACTTATTATGTGTGACATACATGTGTGTGTGTGTGTTCATTATTATTTTTTTTTTTAATATTCACATCCTTCCCCTTCTGCACATTTATAGTACATAAATGAGAGTATGTGAATTGCATTCGTAATGAAATCACAATTAAAATTTTTAATTTGAAAAATAAAAAAATGAAAATAAAATCAAGCCAAATTATTGTGGCACAATGAAGTGTGACGTAACATAAATTTGTTTGAGTTAAAAAAAATAAAACACAATTTTTAATAAAAAAATATATAAGGCAGCATGTTTTATTTATTGCGAGACTTCGTTTTTTATAAAAAAAATATATATATATAAGGCAACATATTTTAATTATTGCGAGACTTCGTTTGCATCTGAAATAATTTCTAGGCCTTCACTAAATAAAAAATTGAATTTGCATTTAAGATATTTATGTCCCATAAAAGAGTATTTCAATAAGAAACTTTATAAACAAATTTAAAAAAATATAGTCACTAAAAATAAATGTATACCTATTAAAATAAGTTCATATATAGAATCCAATAGTTTTTACTTGGAATTTTTAACAATCTTAGTTATCACCAACCCTGAAAAGTAATTAACAGTTACATCCTGAGTCATAGAAACATTGGAAAAAATATCTTGGCTGGATACCAACCACCCATACAGATTGTACAACCGACTATCGAAATGTTGCATGCCACATGGATTACACGACATAATAACAACGCAAACGCCAGTGACGCATAAGTCTGTTTACAATTACCGTTCCATATAGAAACATACACATGCGTGTGCCACATGTCGTATATTACTTTCCCCTCTTTCCATAAAAGAAAAATAAACACGACGAAGAAGTAAACGTAAATGAAACGCACCATAAATGCAGACACCAACCAGCAACACAACAACAACAACATACAATGTCATAAAATATCTACAGTTGGGATTGGTGATTGCTGTTGTTGCTGCTGCAACTGTTGCGACACAGTGACTTACAATAAATTCTGTTGCTGCTACACTATGTCGCTGATTGCCATTACCATTGTGTTGTTTGTCAGCTATATGCGTCTTGTTGTTTTTGGGTGTGCACACACAACACACACACTCACTCAAAAACGATGGCAACATTGAAAGACATTTTTATGGGGTTTGCAATTTTTATTGTACAAAAATGCCATAAAAATGTCTTGTTAAAATTTAAGGAGATCTTGCAGTACGCATATGCAAGTAAACATGTTTCAAAAAGGATTTTGCACCATTCATTCGACAAGATACGCATAATTTTGTTTTGCAGTATTGTCATGACAAAAATGTCATAATTTAATAGACCATTATAATTTAGAAAAAGAAAATTTTATTAAAAAATGTGTAGGCATTTTTTTTATAAATTTATTACGAAGAATTTAATTATTCAAGATTTAGGCATTGTCCTATGAACAAATTTTTAATATTTTAACTAAAAACTTTTAAATAAAACTAACTATAGAAAACTAAAAAATAGGCCAATATCAATCTGGATCTGTTTCCGTAAAAAAATTTTTGAACTATTACAGCATTGACAGATGTACGATTTTATTATTCTGACACCAGATCCTGTAACCGGTTAAACAGACAATTTACTTCCTATGATAAGCATATCATAATTTTTGCTCATCACGACATTTTCAAATATTAATTGACAACAATTCAAAACCAATAACGAGAAAATTATCTGTTGTCCTTAGATTTCGAAAAGTAGAAACATAAATCGAAACGAATTAAATAGGTGACTAATTACAACAGAGTCTTAGAACCAAACGCAAAACGCGGAACAAATCAGATAACTATTTTAATATAAAAAACAAAATTAGTGTACCCTCCATACTATGGTGGAGGGTATAAAAAGGGGGTTATATGGGGGGTGAATATTAATAATTTTTGGTAGGGTAGATTTGGTAGATTTGTTACCATATGCGACTACAAAATACCAAATTTCAGTAAACCTCAGTAAACCTCAAAATACCGAAATTTGGGGGGTACCCTTATATGGAGGCTACCTGAAAAAATGGACTTATATTTATAATTTTTAATGGAGATATTTGGTACCCAATAAAAACCCAATGTACCAAATTTCAGCGAATTCGGTTGAAAAACGCGCCCAAGAACCCCAAAATACCGAAATTTGGGGAGTACCCTTATATGGGAGCTATCAGAATATATTGACTTATATTTATATTTTTTAGTGGAGATATTTGGTACCCAATAAGAACCCAATGTACCACATTTCAGCGAATTCGGTTGAATAACGCGCTCAAGAACCCCAAAACACCGAAATTTGGGGGGTACCCTTATATGGAAGCTATGCCTAAAAGTGGACCCATAAAGCCCATCTTCGAACTTGACACAAAATACGACTCTATATAAAATTTTGGCGATCTATCTCAATTTGTTTAGAGGCTAGAGTGATTACAACAGACAGACGGACATGGCTATATTATAAGGTCGGAAATGACTATTTCTATGAGTTACAAACGGAAAAACAAAACTAATATATCCTCCATAATATGGTGGAGGGTCACTATGGGCCACAGATCCAATTTTTTTGCCGTAATTAGACGCGTTGGTTTATGAAGTAAACATCATATATAAGGGTTTCGGGGACGCTGATAGATAAAAAGATAAATTTGTTTTGAAGACGTTTTGTAGGGCTATGGCCACTGATTACAAATGAGAAATCATCAGACGGATCAAACATGAGAACAAATTTCTTGATATTTATATACCATTTAAATACGAATTTTTTGCTGAGGATCGTAAAATTACTAATTATTTTCAAATATAAATAATTTCCGTGACCCACAACGTTATAACATTTTACTGAAAGTCTCCAGATTAGAAATATATAACAATTTCGGTTACTGGTCCATACTGTGTCAGTTCGTTCTGTCTATCATCTTTCCAAGGCTTTATATTTGATTTGCCATTTTGTAATTCAATATTTTTATAATTTGCTAATATCATATGAAGCTAATTTATTGTCGCAATTGATTCAATTCAAAGTGAACCTTTTCAAAATTAGTTAATGTTATATTTTTGTCAACCTACATTAAATCAGATGATAGGGTCTTTAGGTGAAAATTTCATATAAAATTGTATAAAACATATAAAGAAGAGGAGAGGGGGCACGTTTAAAATTTTCCGACCACCACCAATTTGTTGATGAGTCAACATGTTTTCGCAGTCAACACGTACATTTAATATTTTGTTGTCACCTTTGAACATGTCCAGTAAACTCCAGTAAAACAGTAACAAAATATTTTAATCGAACTTAAATTATTATTACATATGTATATTCAGTGTAAAGGTTACATCAGTACCAATTAGTTAAAATTAAAAAAAAAAACAACAACACAAAGATTATGAGGCTTAAAAGGAAAAAGTGTTCAAAGTTGCTCCCCTCTACTCTAAATATAGAATCCTATTTGGTTTCAATTTCACACACTAATATTTATACTCAACAATGAAAGACTGTATACGACCGTTTCCTCTTAGACACCCCGATTTAATTTATAGCTTAAAGATAATACTTGTATTAAACATAAATAGGACCAAGCTCTGACTCATATGTCACATTTTTTTAATGTCCTAAAAATAATAGAAATGATAGTTTTTTTTAAATTCTATCAAATTTTCGCAATTAATTGGGTTTTGGGCAAAAGGCATTTCTGTCAAAAGATGTCTTTGCAACAACGAGTACTTATGTTCATTCACCACATAGTCAAAAAAAATATTCAACTATTAACTGATTTCTTATTTTCTATTTTATATTTCATATAAAATGCGGGGACCCATAATAAAATCTAAATGCTTATATTTTTGCCACATCGAGACTTTTATATTTTTTTCTTACAAACCCACCAATAATTAAGCTAAAATCGTCGTCCTACTATTCTAAATATTTCTTCCGGGCATTTTTCCTCTTCTTCTTTCTGTTACCATTTCTTTTTTTTATACAAAAACTCAGGCTTCATTACCACTTGTAAGTTGTCATGTCATTACTACAATGCTTACACTTTATTTGGCAATTATCTATTTTGAGAAATGTTGAAATGTCGTCGTATAAATTCTACATGCTTAACACCTTGCAAATGTCGTTGTACTTTTGCAATAATGAATATACCCACTCGGACGGACATGACGCTGCGCATCGCATCATCGTACAACGTTGTAAAATTTTTAAATGCCAACTTTACAGTTAGTGGTTTTGCACTTTCTTCATTATGGCCAGTGCCACCAACAACACCAGCACCACTGCCACTTCCACTATTATTATCATCGTCGTCATTGTCTTTATGCTTTGTGCAACAATTACAAGCAATTAAATGTTACAACGATCAATAAAGTTGAAAATTTACGGAACGCATAAGAGTTGCAGAAATTGTTAAGGAGGCACCGACAACGACGATACCAAGGCAAGGCTGGTTGATTGTGCTGGACTAGCAAACATTTTTCTTTCTCTATTTGACAATTGTGTTGTTGTAGAACTTCTTCATTTTTAGCTTTATTATGCAGTGTATGGCACCGACCGCAAGTCTGCAAATGCAAGGTGAGGTATTAAGGTGATAGTTGTAACTTAACGTAGCCGACGACACACCAACCAAATGTGGCAGTTGGCCACATTTGGGTGGCAACTGCGCTGTGTTCGAGTGTCTGGACGTCTGTTCATTTACTGCTGCTGCTGTTGACTATGTCTGGAAGTTAGTACAGGTAGTTGGGAAACGGTATTGCTCGTCATGGCCATAGTTGTTATTGTTGCATGTAAAGTGTGCAGTTGTTGTTGTTGTAAAATCATAATGAAATGTTCTGCACAATTTTGCACATGGTGGTTTTTATCGCAGTATAAGATACACATCGGTCTCATGCCAAACTGATGTTTTTCGCCAACCCAAGCAAAGTCTACAACAGAGGCTTATGTATATTCCTTACCCGTAGTTGTAGGACGCTCACCGAAACTCTATTCGTATGGGCTATGTGGCAGTGAAAAATGCAGTCATCGTCGCCGCCAGAATTTACTTTAACCAGAAACAGACAATTGACTGGAAATTATGTGTACTTCCGTTCCGTTGAATGTAATTAAACGTGACCCTCCAGAAGTCGGTCGGTTGGTTCTCTTTGATTTAGTTAAGATAGCTTTGAATTGTGGAAGTAAAATACACCTTACTGTTGTTGTTGTTGTAGTTGGTATAATTTAGTATTGTTTATCAAAGGAGTGTTGGAGAGATTGGTGGTTTGAAATAATCAGCAGACATTGTAATCGATGAAACGAAAATGAAACGTGAGACGTTATGAACATTTTCATTTGTAATACGTGAAAAAAATTACTTTATTATATTATCAATTTTTAAAAATTAAAAATATATTTTTGTAATATTTTCTTCATTCGCAAAGAGATTAGATTTTGTATGCAATGTCAAAATGTTTTTATTATTTTTTTAACAACATTTTTTTAACAACAAAATATTTTTTTGATAAAAACGAAAAATATGAAATATTTTGTAAAGTGTTGCTTTTGACAATATACAAATTTTCCATTCAACATTTACCGCTTGTCCTAATTTCTCAATCCTCTTGTCCTATTTTTTTCTTTTTTCTGGAAAATTGTTTCATATATCCATTTTATATCATTTGGGAATAGGTGTTAAAGTAAATCTGTAAAAAAAACACTCCCCAAAAACTAATACATCAATGTGTTCAGATATTACTTGTTCGAAAATCTATCTTTACATAGTGTTGTTCCTAGAATATATACATGGGTTTGTTACTCTAACCACAATTGGATACTATGCTATTCATTACAACATCGTTCTACTTTTAACTGTGCATATACAATTTCCTTATTACTACAGTAATGCCATATTTGCGCCTAATGGAGAAAAAATATAGTTCTAGTTTTCCAATACGTAATTTGTTGTTTAGAAATTTTAAGGGAGCAGCATACACATCGGCTTTGGTACTATAGTGAATATTCGAAACATGTTAATTTTTTTTTTGTTTTTTTTTTATATTTGGCAAAGATGATACCAAGAGATACCAAATGACGGAAATATTCAGTATACGGATTGGATTCTAGGTACGTAGTATATATCCCTTTTTTAAAAGCAGAGTATATGCTTTCCTGAAACCATGTCTTTGAATATAGATTTCATATTTTTTTCTCAATTTATATCCAAACATAGTCTTATCACAGAATACAATAAATCAATGAAGACACCTATCCTCATGTCTTGAATGAAAAATAATACGTGTTCTTCAATACATACACACCTTAACTGTGGCCTCGTAACTCTTTAATCCTTTCCATCGTAACAGACTGGTGATGAGAGGTCGGATCATGTCGAGCCATATTCGCCAAAAAAAACGTAACCCTCAAATTTGAAATTTTACTTGAGAAGGTTTTTTAATAAATTCAGATATAATAAATCTATTATTTTGTGCCAGAGAAGATAGAAGTCAAATCCTTCCAACATTGGGCCGACGGGTCCCACTTTCGGACTAGATCTAGGCCTAGGTTGTGCAAAGTTTGGTTCAAATCGGATATTTCTTTCCGTTTCCTGAGGAAGGTACCAGAAGGAGTGGACCTAAAAAACCTTCTCTGGTAAAATTTCAAATTTGAGGATTACGTTTTTTTTTGGTTAATTGGCTCGATGTGTTTGTCAATCAAGGTTCGCAGAATAATTAATGGTAAACGGATAAACAATTGTTGGACGAAATATAGTTTGTGCGAAGTTTGGTTAAATCAGATACTCTTTTCCATTTTGTAAGGGAGGTACCAGAAGGATTCGACCTAAATTTCCCATCTTCGAACTTGAACTATGTTTGGAAGAAATATTACGATGTGCACAGTTTGGATGAAATCGGTTACTCCTTTCGAGAGTTATTGTGCGCACCAGACGGCCAGACAGACTGACGGACGGACATTCGTAAATCGAATCCAAATTGTTTGAAGTGGATTTGGTCCAATGAAACATGGGGTCTCAAACCAATATTTCTATTAGGCAAGATTTAGCCGTATCAAAGTGTATATACCCGCATTAGCCATAAGACTAAAAATTTAACTAGTTTTTCATGGGGCTTACACAGCGGCAACTTTGCATTACAGGCCCATTAATAGAGATGGGCAGTGGGTAAATACCCAAAGGGTAAATACCCGGTAAATTGGGTAAATACCCATTTGTGGGTATTTATTTGGGTATTTACTATATTGAATCGGTAATACAACATCTTACATCTTTCTGCTATCAAATCGATTTAGAATGGATAGTTTTACGATACTTTGAAGACGTGGGTAAAAACTTGGGTAAATACCCGAGTTTTTACCCAAAAATTGGGTTTAAACTCATTAACTGCCAAACCACTTGACATAGGCGGCCAAAATTTTACATACATGTTTTTAATGTCAAAGCAAATATAGAAATCCAATATGGGGTCCCTGGGTCCAAGTTTTGATATAGCCCCCATATAACCATATCTCCCGATTTAAGGTATTTTTTGTCTATTAGACACATTTTACAACAAAATTGGCTGTAATTTGGCACAGAGTGTTCTTTTTGGGTACCAAATGTCCATGCAAAATTGTATGTATGTAGGTCCACGTTTGCTGGTAGCCCCCATACAAGTGTACCCCTATTTTGAGTATTTACCCAAAAATTGGGTATAAACTCATTAACTGCCGAACCACTTGACATAGACGGCCAAAATTTTGCATACATGTTTTTAATGTCAAAGCAAATATGGAAATCCAGCATGGGGTTCCTGGGTCCAAGTTTTGATATAGCCCCCATATAACCGTATCTCCCGATTTAAGGTATTTTTTGTCTATTAGACACATTTTACAACCAAATTGGCTGTAATTTGGCACAGAGTGTTCTTTTTGAGTACAAAATCTCAATGCTAAATTTTATGTATGTAGGTCCACGTTTGCTGGTAGCCCCCATACAAATGTACCCCTATTTTGAGTATTTACCCAAAAATTGGGTATAAACTCATTAACTGCCGAACCACTTGACATAGGCGGCCAAAATTTTACATACATGTTTTTAATGTCAAAGCAAATATAGAAATCCAACATGGGGTTCCTGGGTCCAAGTTTTTAATATAGCCCCCATATAACCGTATCTCCCGATTTAAGGTATTTTTTGTCTATTAGACACATTTTACAACCAAATTGGCTGTAATTTGGCACATAGTGTTCTTTTTGAGTACAAAATGTCCATGCAAAATGTTATGTATGTAGGTCCACGTTTACTGATAGCCCCCATACAAATGTACCCCTATTTTGAGTATTTACCCAAAAATTGGGTATAAACTCATTAACTGCCGAACCACTTGACATAGACGGCCAAAATTTAGCACACATATTTCTAATGTCAAAGCAAATATAAAAATCCAACATTGGGTACCAAATGTCCATGCAAAATTTTATGTATGTAGGTCCACGTTTACTGATAGCCCCCATACAAATGTACCCCTATTTTGAGTATTTACCCAAAAATTGGGTATAAACTCATTAACTGCCGAACCACTTGACATAGACGGCCAAAATTTTACATACATGTTTTTAATGTCAAAGCAAATATAGAAATCCAACATGGGGTTCCTGGGTCCAAGTTTTGATATAGCCACCATATAACCGTATCTCCCGATTTAAGGTATTTGTTGCCTATTAGAAACATTTTACGATCAAATTGGTTATAATTTGGCATAATGAGATCTCTTTTTGCACAAAATATTCATGCAAAATGTGGTTTTTGACACAAATGGTTAAAATATCAACATTATTTCGTGCATGGGAAATGGGGTCTTAAGAACACATGTCAAGGCTGTTAAAGAGTTTATATATATATATGAATACCCAAAATCAGGATCGTTATATAGGACAGAAAACGTGGACCAGCGTAGACATTTTTTTGCATGGATAGTTGGTACTCATAGAGAACTCTTTGTGACAAATTTCATTCAATCAAATTGGCCAAAATCGGAAGGTGCGGTTATATGGGGCTATAACAACACTTGGACCTAGATACCCCATTTCCCAGACTATTATTTGCATTGATATGAAATTATAACCAATTTGATCGTAAAATGTGTCTAATAGGCAAAAAATACCTTAAATCGGGAGATACGGTTATATGGGGGCTATATCAAACCTAGGACCCAGGGACCCCATGTTGGATTTCTATATTTGCTTTGACATTAAAAACATGTATGCAAAATTTTGGCCGCCTATGTCAAGTGGTTCGGCAGTTAATGAGTTTATACCCAATTTTTGGGTAAATACTCAAATAGGGGTACCTTTGTATGGGGGCTACCAGTAATCGTGGACCTACATACATAAAATTTTGCATGGGCATGTGGTACCCAAAAATAACACTCTGTGCTAAATTACATCCAATTTGGTTGTAACATGTGTCTAATAGACAAAAAAATACCTTAAATCGGGAGATATGGTTATATGGGGGCTATATCAAAACTTGGACCCAGGTGCACCATGTTAGATTTTTATATTTGCTTTGACATTAGAAACATATGTGCAAAATTTTGGCCGCCTATGTCAAGTGGTTCGGCAGTTAATGAGTTTATACCCAATTTTTGGGTAAATACTCAAAATTGGGGTACCTTTGTGTGGGGGCTACCAGTAAACGTGGACCTACATACATAAAATTTAGCATTGAGATTTTGTACTCAAAAAGAACACTCTGTGCCAAATTACAGCCAATTTGGTTGTAAAATGTGTCTAATAGACAAAAAATACCTTAAATCAGGAGATACGGTTATATGGGGGCTATATCAAAACATGGACCCAG